AGCTTTATCAAAGAGGAATGTCTTAAGCCTACTCTTGAATGTGGTGAGGGTGTCTGCCTCCCGAACCACAACTGGAAGCTGGTTCCACAGGAGAGGAGTTTGGTAGCTGAACTACTGGGGAGAGAAATGTGGACCAAGAGGACCCCTTTTATACCAAATTAGCTCTGGCTCTTGAACTGGTTCCGATCAAGCTCAGTCAACAATAAAAAATCTTGTTAGGAATAAACTTGCCTCGTGTGAACTGTCTGTTGCTGGATAGGGTTGGCCTATGCTGCTGGATTGGAGAGCCTGATGTATTCTGAAGTGGTACATGATTCTATTTATTCTATACATATGCACATTACTCTGCTCTGCTGCTTTTAGGACTTCTGGTTAGATGCTATATTTTGTTATCTCAGTACTCACTGGGACAATAACTCCTCAACATTTCATTCATTCAGTCTTTTTTTTGAGGGGGGTTCAGCCCACCTGAGGTTGATGTGGAACTTAAATGTAAACAAAAGCACACATTGGAAGCAAAGGAACATACATCTTTCAAGATATTAATCTAATTAATCTAATCTAAGTCTATTTGGACAGAAATACATAAAGTGAAACCATAGGAGCCTGTGTAATTTACTTATACTTGGTCTGCATTCTCTTCCACTGTTAACAATAACAACCTTTACGAATGTAATTTCTTACAATGAGGGAATCTTATTTGCTCAAATTTGCATATTTGAGCAGTGAACCTAGGTCCAGATGTATAGCTATCTAGGAAACAGAAGGACGGTGCTCAGTGTGGTCGGATTGAGCTCCTCCCCTAATTACACACTGCAGTCACAGGAATTCAACCATGCATGTGCACTCAACATACAGACCAAACATACTGACATTCTGTAAATATAGCAGGATGGTGCAGCTCAGGGATGTTCTGCCTCTTATTGGTGTGTGGTGAGTAAAAGACCAATCAGGTCAGGCACCATAACTACACTCATCCTTACCACATATCTCATTCTATATCTGTAGTAAAATGTAAAAGCAAAACACATAAAAATGTTCACTTCATCTGGAATCAGATAGATTTGTGTTGAAATAACTAAACATTATATGACAGACAACAGGATGCTATGCACTGTGGTTCAGAGAGTCATGGTCCCCAGATGATGATTCCGATTGACTTTGGTGATCCCTGACATTTCATGTAGCGCCACCAAAAGGTGAAAGTTTACACTTACCCAGTGACATTAATCTTAACATCTACGCGATGGATTCACACAAGATTTTGTCCAGACATTCATGGTTTCCACCTTCTGCGATCCCCAGACTGTACCTCTAGTGGCACATGAAGTTCACGTTGTACTATTGAGTGAAATATCATCTGCAACTGCCATGATGGACTGACATGAAATTTGGGCCAGATATCAACATTTTGTCCAGACATTCACATCCCCCTCAAGATGAAGTTTTATCACTTCTGACATTTAGAATAGAATAAACTTTATTGTCCCTGAGGGGAAATTTGTCTTGGGCACAGTGCTACAGTTTGTTGCTTCAAAGAAACAAGCATACCTCAACAACAGACACACATCAAAAAAACAATTACAAAATCAACACAAAAACATCTTAAAACATGGAAGACACTGCATTTTAAGACTGACAATGTGGCAGCTTAAAAAGTGACTGTAAGAAACTATAAGAATTAAAGTGCTACGGTGCTGGTTTGTTTTTGATTGATTTAGTATTGGAGTTCAGCAGCTTGATAGAAGTCGGGACGAACAATAACTTCTGTCTATTTGGTTTGGACTTTGGCACACGGAGTCTTCTTCCTGATGGCAGAGGTTCGTATTCAGAGAAGAGGGGGTGTTGAGGGTCCACAATGATTTTTTCCACTTGTTTCATGACTGTGTGCTCATATAATAATAATAATAATAATAATAATAATAATAATAATAACTTTATTTATATAGCACTTTTAAAAACATGGTTTACAAAGTGCTTTGACAGAACACAGCAAGAATACAATTTACAATTACAAAGGACGATAAAATAGATTGCATGAAATAGTTGAAATAACAGAGGTAATGATACAAATGAATAAAGTAGGTGAAATAATAGAGATGGAATAAAATAAGTAGAACAGAACTCAAAGACGGTTGGAGTAAAAATAAACATAAGGACCACATCACATAAAGGCAAGTCTATAAAAATAGGTTTTAAGAAGTGATTTAAATATAGGCTCTGTATGGGCTCATATTCTTTCCTCCCTATTATCCTCATAGCTATTTTGTGCATGCTGGCCAGCCTGCTTTTCAGCTGCACTGTTAAGTTGCCAAACCATGCTGTGAATCCATATCTAATGATGCTCTCTAGGATCGCCCTGTAGAAGATACTTTATTAATCCCCTATTGGAGAAATTGTTCTTTTCACTCTTTTTTTATTTTATACACACACACACACACACACACACACACAGGCTGAAATACACACTTCATGCACTTGTGGACATGCAACAGGGAGAGAGATGGTGGAGTGATGGGCTGCCATGTTAGCAGCGCCCCATGAGCAGTTTCTTGGGGTTAGGTTGCCTTGCTCAAGGGCACCTCGGCAGTGCACAGGAGGTGAAACTGGCACCTACCAGAAAATTAGCGTCCTCGTATAAATATGTGTCCATATAGACAACCTTCCTATTAGTTAAAAAAAATTAAACCAGTTGATCAAAGAAGGGTTAACACTCATATCCTTGAGCTTTTCTAAAACCAAATAGGGCTGCACTGTATTAAATTCAATTCAATTTAATTCAATTCAATTTTATTTGTATAGCGCCAATTCATAACAGATGTTATCTCAAGACACTTTTCAAATGGAGCAGGTCTAGACTGAACTCTTTATATAAAAAATAAATGCTGAACTAAAATCAATAAATACAATTCTAGCATAGACTTTTGTGTTCTCAAGGTGCTTAGAAGTAAAGTGTGAAAAATCAGGTTCCTCCTAATGGCATTTGCATGGCATCAGAACGAAAACAACCAATCAGAGCCGAGAAAGATGGAAAAACACTTTGGGATGGAGGCTTGAAGATTGTTTAATTGTTGAGTCTCATTCCCAGAGTCTGTATTTGACGACCAAAGAATGAGATCCAGCAATTAACTATCTTTCTTGGCTCTGATTGGTTGTTTTTGTTCTTTGTGCTGCTGTATCTGCTTTAGTATTCCAAACTGAAAATCAAATAATTCTGTTCTAATACTTCTGTCCCAGAAAAAAAGGATAGCACATAGAACCTGTGCATTCAAACAGGAGCTCAGGAGGAAAGTGAATGTCGATGTCTTACTGAGCAGTATCCCAGTAGGTTACTGAGAATACTGTGGCTCATTAATGATTTACACTTCATATGCGAGCAGTGTGCTGTCCATTGACCGGCAAGGGACAGAACAGCCATCGACCAGCATTTTGCACGCTTCATGAACATCAACACATCAGCTGAATTTCCATGGTTGGTCAGACAAGACACAAAACATTGTTTTGTCATACTCTGGTCAATTTTGAGATTTGGGGCTATTTTTTTGCTTCTACAACATGTCTTCTGTCAGACTAGTGTATCGAAAACTCCCAGAATACACTATACTTAGTTTATTTGCATCTGTTCACCAAAAGTCAGCATTTGCATATTTAAACACACAATTTCAGAATAGTTGTAATACAAAAAAAGAATTGTCTTTATGTTAGTAATCAGCTGGTGGAGATTCATGCTGTTGTCTGTTAATTTTATTACCCTATTCACCTGTAGCATCTGGCCTTCAGAGGAAGCTAGTGTGATTCAGGTGAATTTGCTCTGTGAATGCAGGATAAGGTTTTCCCTGTTGACACAAATTTATATTTATTTCAGATGTTACCAGATGTCTGGTTCATTCAAATGGTTGACAGCTAGAGGAAAAGCAGCAATAGTAGGATGCATTTCGCTTTGCACTGTTACTACCATGTTTTCTCTGTTGTTTTTATGGTGATTTTTGTTTCATTGGATGTGATCATCAAGACATTTTTTAAAATAATTGTAATCTTTTTTTCTCTTTAAAACATACTACAAAAGACACCATATTTTTGGAAATGTGAAATGCCCCCACATCTGTTATGTCTTATCACTGGGGCCACTTCTTCTCATATGGGATACTATGGGGAAATGATTGTGCACAGTCTGTGTAGATGAGTTGCTTAAGTGAATTGGAGCTTGTTTTACAAAGTTCTTAGTTGTATATGCCTGCTTTATAACATTGAATCTGCATTTTACGATTCAGCCATTTTTTGCATCATTTTAAAATGTAAATACAAATTAATCAATTTAAAGCTACAGTAGGCACTTTAAATTGATTTCATATTTGATGAAACGTTCACTATATCCTGACAGTAGTACTGTACTATTATTTTTGTTAGCTACTTACTGCAGCTAGAAATTGATTTATCGCCCAGCTCTGACTTAGTTATTTTTTTCTTCTTTAGCTTCTTTTATCTTTAAAATGGTCTAATTATATTCATTAGACTAAGAAATCAAGTGCGACTGTAACTAAATTCTGTAATTGAACTCTTTTGGTTTTCTTTTTCTTTGATGATCCATGAATTGACGGCAGCTTCTGCTGAGCGTTGCATTTTTACACTGATGCACACAAACAATTGATTCGTGATTACAAAGACTATTGAAAATCTGTCTTTGCTGTACTTTTCATAGTGATTTGTTAGTCTAAAATAGTCTTTCATCCTGGCATTGTTGGCCCACAGCATAGACCAAGGACTTGCAACATACTGAGCTGTAAGAGGATTACAGTAGTACAGTATGTGAGCATAAGCGTGTGAGATAGAGCACAATAACAGAATATAATAAACTGTAGGACGTTGATCCATATAGTCCATGCCTTAAGGGGCTTCTGTCTCTAGTAGGAGAAAACCAATGAATCTGCTGTTTCATACAGTACCGTACAGTACAATAAAGAGGTCCTGCAGCAACTTCAACCTGTTTCTTGCATTTTCAGATAACCCTCGCATGGTGAGCCATGTCCCAGTCACCATCCAGGTCCTGGATGTTAATGACAACATTCCAGCCATCTCTGGGGGCAACGAGGCCGTGGTAGTGTGTGAGAGCACCAAAAATGGACAGGTGGGTGGCTAATGCTCCAGCCTAAGAGAACAAAATACACACTGTGTGGGCTTTAGCTTCTCTGATAAGGAAGAAAAGTTTGAAAACAACTTTTTTGAGAACCTTTGTGTGGAGTTAGAGTGAATTCTATCATCTGTTGTCAGGTAAGTTTGGAAAGCTGACCTGTAAACTCAAAAACATACTGTAGGCACAGCGCATCATTGACACCCACAAATATCAAATATACCACAGCATCTCAAAGCAATAGGACCTCACAGCTAGTATAACAATAACTCTGGATTGGTGTATATTTGTACCCTTTTGCTTGTAGAAAAAGAGCTCATCAAGAGCTTTTATTTGATATATAACTAATTCTTACCCAAAATGTCACATAAACCGCTCTGGTTCACACTCTTAACATAGAAAGAATCAGCCTGGAGACTTTTGTGTGTTGTTTAACTTGATTTCCCCCCAACTGGCTCACCAAGCAATGTGTTTTTTTTTCTTATAATCTTTATAATACTGAGGCTGTGGCTTGTAAGGGTCCAAATATTACCCATGTTTCCATCCATGTAGTAGAACATTTGACCAAATTTCCAGTACACTAGAAAAAGAAAATGGTCATTATTTTGCTTTTCAACCCACTACTGTTACGCAAATGTTAGGACTGGGGCACATCAAGACAAACAGCTGGTTGCGCTAATTCTTTGATGTAGTGCCATTAAACTGCTGCAGAAGAACACGGCACAGATGGTGTAATTAAAAGAGCTCCAGTCAAACCTCGAATGCTGGAAAACCATGTGAAAACCAACCAGAAAATTTGTTTTGTGTATTAATCGCACCACACACATCTGATGTTTTCATCTCATCGAGCTTGTGTGATGTAGTTGCAGATTGCATCTTAATCACTTCACCCTCCCCTTCTAAGCACAAAGGAGAAACTAAGGTTTCTGAAATGTGTAAAAAACGCATATGCCCCTGAAAACTGAACTACTGGTAGTGTTGCTTTCGTCAACGAAAATTATGACTAAATATCGTCGTCAACGAACCTTTATCACGTGACGGAAACAAGACGAGACGCAACGGCAACCTCCTAACAAGTTTATTGGTTGGTCTCTGTAATTAATGTTAAAATTCGCGACCGCTCTATTAAAAGTGTCCGAATAACTTCTTATAATTGGCGCTAACAAATAAAATTTAATATATTAACGTAAATGGTGGTCATGTGACGAAAACTATATCAAATATATAATGCAATATTGTTGACGAATAAAAACGGGACTAAATGTGGCTTTGCAAAATAAAAACTCTGCTAAAATATCTCTTCATTTTCGTTGACCAAAACGAGACGAGACGAAATGTTATAAAATTATTTTGTCTCACTATTATTATTATTTTGAAGTATTTCTGTTTCCTGAGTCCCGGGGCTGCAACAGCGCACTGCGCAGGCGCAGGCTACATCACTTCCTCAATCCCCACTTGCTGCATTATTTACAAGATGCAGCTGCGGTGGGTTAACAGTTAGTCACAGACACACACATTTTATTTGCACTTTTTTATTATGTCATTGTAGCTGTAGCAATCAAGCACCTTGTGTCTCTTTGAGTTAAACTTGAATGTAATGTAAATTTTTTCTGGCATTGTCATTTAAAGCTATTTTATTTATTTATTTTATTTAAATTTATGTGTGTGTACTTCTTAGTACATGTTTGGTAGGTAAAATAAATATGTTGTAAATTAAAATCAGAGCATCTTCCGTGTCTGGAATTGAATGTATTCTTGAGTCTATAAGGTAACAATAATATAATAATAAGATAACCTTGTTTGACTTGAGGAATGGGTGACTTAAAGAAAATTTTGGTTTTGTTTATACTATACTAGGTAGTTGTACTATATTAACTGGGTTAAATAGAATTGCATTACTAAAAAGAGACTAAAATACAATTTTCATTGACTAAAACTAGAATAAAATGTCATCAGTTTTTGTCGACTAAAACTAGACGAAAATAGTCATGGATAATTCTGACTAAAATAAGACTAAAATGCTCACTTTTAGTCGACTGAAACTTGACTAGACTAAAACGAGTATAAACATGACTAAAACTAATAAAAACTAAAATGACAGTTTGACACAAAAACTAGACTAAAACTAAAATTAAAACAAGCCGCCAAAAACAACACTAACTACTGGTCCCATCAGAAAACAAGAAACCACAAAACAAACTGAAGTCTACTTCAGTTGGACTCCACTCACACAAGCTGCATGGTCAGGCTGGAAATGTGAAATAAAAAAAGACAAATTCCTGCACACTGTCTAACTTGCATTACAAACATTTGGAACATTTCAGAACTAGACCTGGCAAATGGTTCATGATAATAAGAACCCATCTTAAATAGGGACCTATATTGTGGCTACACAACTACAAACAATCACTCTCCACCTGCAGTAGGAAGGCATTAATGACATCAATTTTCCATGTGACAGCCTCAAAAACACATACGTGGATCTGGAAGAAAGACCATAGTACCATCAGTACACACAAAGTGGGCACAGCCACCATAAATAAAAAGCTTTTATAATATTACAAAGTTTCACCAACAGACAACAATATATCTAAATCTCTTTATGTTAAATAACAATCACATTTCTCTCCATCAGATCAACATTACTCTAAGCAATAGATTACACATGCTCCTAGTATGCACATATTGAGCAGGTAACATATATGGATGAACCCACCAAAAAGAATACAACCCCAACAATACATTTACAATGCATTACAATAACCATATGAAAAACATAATGAACATACTGGCCTAAAAAAAACCTCATGCAGTATAGTATTGAATTAGTCAACATGTTATGTATCTGACCAGCAATCCTACACACTGGTGAGTAGTCACATGTTTCAGGTTTATCATGATTTACTCACTAAAATCCTGTTTCCATTGCACTTTGTTGCACTTTTTTTATCAATATACCCTCACTGCAAACGTGAATGATTACATTTCTGGCATTTCCACTCATATTTTCAATACACAAATTGAAAATGTGCATTAAAATAGATATAAAATAGAAATACATCTTATTGACAGAGCATCTCCAAACCTGCAGCTCTTGTGGGGTGTTCCCGGTCTGCAGAGGTCAGTACCCATCAAAAGTGCTCCAAGGAAGGAAAAGTGGTGAACCAGGGTCATGGGGGACCAAGGCTCACTGATGCATTTGGGGACCAAAGACTGGCCCGTGTGGTCCGATCCAACAGACCAGCTACTGTAGCTAAAACTGCTTAAAGAGTTAATGCTGGTTCTGATAGAAAGGTGTCAGAACACACAGTGCATCACAGTTTGTTGGTAAGGGCTGCAGAACATTATGCATAAATATGAACATATGGCTGAACTTTCCACACATCCATTAGCAAAGGGCTAAAAACATATCAACAGCAATAGTATCAAAGGTTGTTGGTAACGACTCTCTCAGTAAAGTGAATGTTACATTGTAACAGAACTTTCTACACACAGTAGCATAATACTCACAAAGACCAATGAACTAAATCTTGGACTTTCCACAGATGGCAAGGCATTGAGCCCTATAACAGCTACAAAATAATTGTGACTTATGATTTGGGCTACACATAGTCCGAAAGTGATTTGCTGACTCTCGACACTGATTAGTCAAAAATTGAAACAAATGCTAAAGGTCACGCAGACTGCACTGCAAAAAACATCTCCACAAATTGGCCAAAGCAAATGTGAACATAACCTCGTGTTAACCTTTCAAGCATAAGCACATACAACAAATATACAGTATACACCCCTGCTTGAAAACACATTCATCCTCTCTTTGACTCACACACATACATGCTCACACATACATTCATGTTGATCTGTAGCCTTTTTGTTCTGTGTCTGACACCATCAGTTGAGGATTTATCAGCTGAGGTGCAGACTCTGCAGCTTCTTGAACCCATAAATTATTCAGACTGCGGAGCGCACTGATGCTTCCGCTGCTGGGCCAGATAGCAACACAGACGATCATATTAAACCCAAACCCGGGCCTGCCTCACTGCCTCCCCTATCTCCCCCCTTCCTTCCACCACCACACTGCCATCCTCTCTGCTCCACAGTAGGGCCAAGTCTGAGCCAGGGATGATAAAACACTTTTCAGAGCGGAGCACAAAGGCATAGATCTGCATCACAGCAACGGCTGCCCACGCATGTACATTCACAAATCACACACACTGCCTCCATCTTATTATATGTATTGCCCTATCTTACTATCTGTTCCACCACTTTCTCTAGTTTTTATGCTAATTTAATCTCAAAGCATGTGTGTTTTGTGTTCATATATGAGTGCATAATCATTTAGCTTGGCTTCAGGCAGCAGACAGCACATGCTAGTGCAGTCAATGACAACAGAGGACTTGCCGGCATTGCAATGAACTGACGCTAAGAAGTTTTTATGCACAACACGCCAGTCTGGCATGACAGTCTTTTCCCGCTGCATTTGCATAATTGATTGCAAAACGATCACACCGGCTGTTTAGGTTGGGGGCATACAGAACATTTAAAGTTAAATAATTCAAGTTATAATTGATAATAAAATGTAGAGTTTTTCTTTTTGAAAATAATCTTGTTGCTTGGCAATGGCTGTGTATGCAGATGCAGCGGCCGGTAGCTCCTTCAAACTTGCAAAAAAAATTGCCATATCACTGAAAATATCATTGAATGATGTCTGATTTAATTTTTAAAAGGCCTATGCCAGAATTCCGCAATTCGAGTTGATTGGGAGATTCTAACGACTGCACATTCAGATGGTGCGTTCGATAGCTCCTTCAAACGTTTCTGGCTATTTCTGTCATATTTCTCTGACAGAAATAGTCTAGGTTAATCGAAAAGGGAAGCATGAGGCTTGGATGAAAGAGCAGCGGACCTTGAGATAATCCACTCAGCCAGATCAGTGGGACCAGCCAACCAAGGCTCATGATGCACGTGAGGAGTGGAGGCTGGCCCGTGTGGGCTAGCCACTGGAGCTCAAACTGCTGAAAAAGTTAATGCTGGTTCTGATAGAAAGGTTTCAGAACACACAGTGCATCGCAGTTTGTTGGTATGGGGCTGCCCAGGTGGTCAGGATGTTATGGCTGATCAGTGTATGTCTGCAGTAATGTGGGCTTTAATATAAAACAGACTTTAAGAAGACATAGTCCAGTTAAATAAAACTTGGATAGAATAAGACATAAGAAAATAAGCACTTCATATTGAGACAAAATAAGACTTTAGAAAAGGCTAGTTTTTCATAATCATCTGTCAAGTCTGCCACGTCAAGATTTTGTATTCTATTTCCGAGGCTAAAATAGCACCTGTTACCACAATAAGCTCTGGACACACCACAAAATAAGTTGTCTTGACAGTTTACTATTGGTCAGCAGTGAATTTCTGAGTCAAAATTCATCAAAGTTGAACTAAAAAAATATTTGTGTGGTCTTATTTAGCCAAAAAATCACACAATGCACATCCAATGCAGGACGAAAAACAGAAACAAAGGACAGGCTGTCCACGCTGACATAGCGGAGCTTCCAAGTTTTTATTCACACTAGGGTTTGACCTCCAAGGTCCTCAGGCAAACGTCCATGAGAACAGAAACAGGCTGAATATACAGACAATACATGGCAGCTGCACCACCTGCAATTATGTGATACAAAATAACAATTGTATCAATCACTATCAGTTGACTATGTTCAGCAGAGTTGTTAGTAGGGCAGTTAGGTCCAGTGCTCCGTACCATTAAAAGATTCAGTGCAGGTATGCAGAAGCAGGAAGAGAGGACAGCAGCTGCCTGTCAAAACCATCTACATATATAAAGATGGATGACATGACAGCTCTTCAAAAATCCGAAGCCAAAAAAAAAGCAAAAACATGTCGATTGCCCCCTGGTGGCTGACTGCAGTATAGGTCATAAAGCCCGCTGCCTCCATGTTAGCATTGGGACATGTGCCAAAACTAATATGTATATAGATACAGGCCAGCTGATAGTCTGGCCTGGGATGAGATAATCTTAGATGGGCCCCCCCACGCCACAATCTCTCCTTTTCCTCTGCTCTTCCTCTCCTTCCAATAACAATTGTTTGTGTGCATGGTTTCTTTCATGTTCTGGAAATCTCTCATAAAGCTTTCTGTAAATTTCTGGAATTTAGTGCACTAGTTGACTTTTTCTCTACTGCAAGCATGGTAGGCAAAATAAGGCCTTTTTTGAGCTGCTATATACTATCCAGTCCCATTTTTTCCCTTCCATTGTGGGATGTGGAATAAGTTTGAGAATTCCCTGCCCTCTGCATCTGCTGGCAATTCCTTTGTCCTCTCTGAGAAAGGCGCCATCACACGTACGACGTTCACTCTATCAGAGTCGGTCATCCTTGTTGGCCATAATGCAGGATCACTGAAATTAAATGTGTGATCAGTCTCTGATCCATCCTCAGACTCTCCGACAGGGCAGCGGGCCCCTCCCGCTCCACTGTGACTGTCTCTCTCTCTTTCTCTCTCTCTCTCACCGGTAGCCTGACTCTGTCCCTCCGTTGCGGGGCAGCGGGCCCCTCCTGCATCACTCTCTCTGTCACCTGCCTGCAGCTGGATCTCTCTCCTCTCTGTCTCATTCTCTCTGACGGAGCTACCAAACTCAACTGTTTCTGTCAGATAAAAACAAACAGATAACGTTAACTTTACTATTTCCAGCTTCACCGTCACCACCTTTTTTTTAAATATTCAAAATCTCTAAGGCCTCTTTATTTTCTTCTTCTCTTCTCTTTTCTTTCCTTTTCTGAGCACCGGACTTGTGATGACCAGACTTTTTTAGCGTACTGAACTTCAAATCAACCACAACATCAAATTTCGATCAGTGGCCAAACCATTTTTGTGTTGGGGGTGGGGGGGTTCTTGACCACTATTTCAAGGACAATTAGGAAGAAAACAAATAAAAAGCTTTTATGTAACTCAAATATTACACTATCGGCGGGCGTGTATAGATATATATATACATAGATACATATATATACATGTATCTATGTATATACACGATGTATTTTTGAGTGTTTAGTTTTCTGATAAGTTTTCGTCATGATTGACAGCTGACCCCTGCTCACAACGACGGCACACACTCCGATCACTACTGCGCAGATTCTGGCTCTGAATAACGATATTCTGGCTTAAGTTTTAGACATCCAGCTTTATATACATAGGTTGTCAATGTGAACAGTTAATTGTCTATTGAACTAATTTTATATTTTTCCAGTGTGTTTGCCTAGCTCATACCTATGGGTTTTTAATCCATACTCAAGGGAACTCCTGCTGCCTTTCCAAAACTGCTGAGTTACTGCTGCCTAAAGTCAACTTCTGCTGCAGCTGACCTCTCATATCAAGTGCTGTGGGTTTTTGGTTTGGCACATATCTCCCGGGCAAAAGTTTACTACCCAAATAACACACAGTGTGCCTGAAAGGGTGCATTTTTACAACCAAACCACACACTTTATTGATGTGATTTGCACCAGGCAAGGATGAATCAAAACATTTCAAACTAAATTTAGTTTATATTTTCCTCTAATTTAAAACAAAATAGATAGGATTAAGATTTTAAATTTTTTGTGTGGCACTTGGACTATTTAAATAAAGCACACATGATGTAAAGTGTTTCTAATTTCTCTATATAAAATACAGGCATTAAAAAATGTAATGCGTTCATGGATGCATGAAGCTTGGGGGCGAGAGGAGAACAATATGAAGCAGTGAAGGTTGGGGTAGTAGTACTGGCAAGAATTTCAATCTACTTTCACCTGATGTTCAGAGAAAACACACAATAGAATAAACTTTATTGTCCCTGAGGGGAAATTTGTCTTGGGCACAGTGCTACAATTGGTTGCTTCACAGAAACAAGCATACCTCAACAACAGACACACATCAAAAAACAATTACAAAATCAACATAAAAACATCTCAAAACATGGAAAACCCTGCATTGAACACTGACAATGTGGCAGCTTAAAAAGAGACTGTCAGAGACTATAAGAATTAACAATGTTGCCCATACGGGACGTGTAATGCACAGTTTTTTTTGTAAAATGTATATAATGTATTATCCATTGGATATAATTTGCCACCACAAGTGAATGAAGTGATGAATTTATTTTGAGTTACCAGTTATACTGCAGCAGCAAGCATTGGTAATGGGTTCTCTTGTTTGCTCTGATGGATTTTTAACAAGTATCTCTCAGGTCTGGCTCCGGTCCCAACTGGATCTGGTAGCAGGTTGGAATGTACTGTTGCAGATGAGGAAGACATTTAGAAACATCTGGCATTTTGCTGTGTTTTTATGTCTCTGGATTTTAAATCAGGAAAACTGTTACAGCTGTAAAATTGGAATTAATTGGGCATTTGCATGTCAAACATTATCATTATAGTGTAGACTTTCTATTAAATGCAGGAAGGAAAAAATATTCCATATAATATATAAAATATTCTGGTTTATACACTGTACCCCTAACAGAGGGCCAAAAATATTTATTTGGCAATCAGTGCATTTTTTTATCACTGCACTATACACTATAAAACTATAATGCCAATTATTTATCTACCAAAATTAAACACAAATTTCCATATCCTATGCATTTTTTTTTATAGTTGATGATTATTATTAAATTAGTTAGAACTGAAACAAATCAATGCTTGGGTCTTTGTGAAACTGTTTCAACACCCAAGAAATATAGCCTATGCACCTAATAGAATTTTAGTTTTCTTTGTTTTGCAAAGTTTATACAACTCCAATTGTTGCCTATACACTTGGAAAAAGTTGCATTGAATTTTTATGGTGACAAATCCAGCCAAATGCACATCTTTCTCCTGTAATAGTAGTCAAATATCAACACAACATAGAGGTTGCCACTATCTATACTCTATGATTAATGAACTGTTGACAAAGTAAAAGGCAACGCCCAGAAAAAACTAAATTCCACATTCATGAAACAACATGTAACTCTCCAGAACTGAACATTTGAATTACGGTATAAGGATGATACAACTAAAGAAAAAAGAATCCAAAAGAATTAAGAATTAGATTCAGGGAATTAATGGTTACTGACGATGTTTCTTGCAGCTGATGGAAACAATTTGGGAGACTATGAGCAAAACTAGATTAAACTAAGGTAGTGTTTAATGATAATAATGAAAATTCAGAGATGTGGCGTGTAAACAGGAAATCATGGCCAATTAACTTGATATTCTGTGTAATGGATTGTAAAGATTTGCAAGAGGTCAGACTGGATGACTGTCAGTTTAAACTGTGAGCTTTAAAGAATTAAAAAATATACTTCATTCTCAGCCTCTATTTTTCTTTATTATCTTGAGTGCTTTGTTATCTTAATTTATCTCTATTTCTATAGGCAAACTTTCTCTTTTACCTGCATTGCTTGTCTTCTCTGTTGCCGCTATTTTAATTTAATTCCTTTACATCTCTTCTGTTTATCTACATCAGGTGATTCAAACGATCAGAGCAGCAGATCTGGACAACTTTGCAAATGGAAAGTTTTCCTTCTATGTGCCTGCTGACCATCCAGCCAATCCAAATTTTACCTTGAAGGACAATGGAGGTAAGGCTCTAGTGAGCAGACAAGTTGTCAAATATGAGTACATATGTTTTTTTTATCAATACTCATATATGACTTGTGTACAGATACTATGGACAAATAAACAGATTCTAACATAGGTGTTGTTTTTCTAAATGCAAACTGGTGAGGGTCCAGGCCGGCAGCGATTTTAATCTTTATGTACTGGAGAACCAGTTTTTCAGTGCACTTGTGTTGTCCACTAATCGAAAGGCTGTTGGTTTGATCCCTGACTCCTGCTGCCACATGTCGAAGTATCTTTGACCAAGATGCTGAACCCCAAATTGCTCCTGATGATGTGAATGTGCATGAATGATTTAGCTTCTGTTCGATGGACTTTGCCATCACTGAGTGAATGTGTGTGAAAGGGTGAATGTGGCACGTAGTGTAAAAGCGCTTTGAGTGCTCGGAAGACTAGAAAGGCGCTATACAAGTACAGGTCCATTTATCATTTACCGTGGCCTCCTGACTTAGCAGGGCCTGCTGTATGTTTTTCCCCTGCTGTATGTTTTTCCCCTACTGTCTGTCTTTGTTCTGCAGGTATGTGGGTAGGGTTAATCAGTGCCTCTGGAGCACCTGGCCAGTCTCTCAGGGGCATTTTATATCCGTCCATCCCAGTCATTCACTCTCTCTTCGTTCCTCTGGCACCATGTTCTTGTTTGGTTGGCTTCGACCTGGTTTTTAGTTTTGTTTGGCACCTTACAACACCGTCATCCATTTTTTCTTATCCACTCATGCACCTACTGACACACTTATACTACTCATCATTTCAGTATATTTTCTGTATGTTACTTAATTTTAATTATGTTTAAGTAATATATTTGTACTCCTTTAAGTTTAAACAGTTTCCCTTACATTTTTTGTCATGGCTCATGAGCCGGGTCGTGAAATATGGGGGATCTTCCGGGATTTGAACCCCAGACTTCTCCAGAACTTTGACTATGCTTGAGTACCAAGCATCAGTGATATAAAGGCTGAATTCACCTCCTGTCTTGCTGGAGTCCACCCATCGGGTGCAATAGCTTGATCCAGCATGCTGTGGTGCAGCCAGGTCTCAGTGAAGATGAAGGCACAGTAGTCTCTGATTCGAAGTTGCTGGGTTAGCCTGGGTCTTATTTGGTCCATTTTACTTTCCTGCTACTGCAGATTAGCCAGGAGTAGGCTCCTGGCTGTAGATTTTTACTTCTGCATTGAATCTGTCGTAGGTATGGTAGTTGCTCTACGCTGTAACCTGATGTGCACCTTCCCACAAATGTAACTGAACATTGTGGCATATGTGATCTTTTGGTAGATTGTTCGTCCATGTCTCTCAGTGGTCGGACAACATAACATTCACCCTCCACCTTCCTCTATCAGTTTGATGATTGTACGCGCCATCTCCTCAGACGTATTCTCTCTGTAATTTCAGTAAACTGTTTTATTAGCTTATTATTTAGTTGCCATTGTATGAAGTACATAAAATAAGATTACAGTGGCATAGGCACCCCACCCCCGACTAGTGTTTTGACAGTGTAATTGCAGAGCAACATAGTCATACCAGTGCACAAGTATAAATGCTCACAATGGCATAGGCCAGATGCTTTATCGAAAGCTATGCATAGAGCCAATGTACAATTATGAAGCAGCCTTCAGGTCCAAGCTGGGTTAGCTTAGCTCTTATCCTTTCTTCCCTTCCTTTCTTCTTGGGACGGTGGCACTACTTGCGGTAGTGTTTGGCTTGCTTTGGTTAGCTGAACTGGCTGGGTAGTCGGGAGATTATTATTGAAAGAAGATAAAGTCTCACCTCTGGTGGATGTAGCAAATCCACCCTCTTGGATGCCCCCTATGGTAGAAAAAACATGATAAAGTGCCCTCTGGGATGTTAACCGTAACCCTGTCTAAGTGCATGCTGGTGCCCTTTTTATTTGTCCAGCCAGTTGTACTTACATAAAAAATTACAGATGACAAGACATTTAATTTGAATTCTTATATCCTTCAGTGCAACATTAGAAATACTAACGGTTAGTCATCAGTTTTTCAAGAGCCCCCTAAACTCGAAATTTTGTTGCTTGTGGGGGAGCTCAGATGTCTTCTGGGGGTGCTAAGAACCCCATGGTCCCTGTGTGATTCTAACTTTGCTTGAGAAACCGTAACAGTAAACAACCTTCACTATGCCAGTGTGCAGGAGTGAGCAGGAATTCAGCTGGATCAGCCAGAGTAAGTCTAATGCTCATGCACCATTGTTCCAGAAACATGGAAGTTCAGCATATGGTGCCATCTTACAACACAGTGTCTGGTTCTCTTAATACATCCATGACCTCAGTGCTGTTTCTAATACACCTTGTGCTCATAGGGCAACCCAAAAGTAACAGTACTATTAATGGGAATGAATACCTGGCTCTGTAGTGTATCATGTGGGGCATAATGAAGCATGGCTCAGAGTTGCTGCTACCAGACATGAACACATATAGTCCTTGGCGTGTCACTGGTTCATATCTGTATAACACATTCTTCTGGCATCATTACCACAGTCTTGCCTCTTTGCTTTTGGTGGAACAGGTACCAGCCCCCCCACCCCTCCCTTGTGAGATCTGTTTTTATGTCCAAGAGAAAACCTGTGGTGCTGTTGCCTTGGTTACCCAGCTGCTGGAGTTTTCTGTTTATTTCCTCTCCTCATTTAGCTTTTGATTATGTCTCTCCTGAATAAACTGGAGGGGGCAGGTCGCCCTTCAGTTTTCAGGTATGTGTCAGGTTGTGTGATGTTCTCAGAGCTTTGGTCTTCTGTCTTTTTATGCCGCCTCACTCATCTCCTCTCTGTTCACTGTGACTCCCCACCGTCTTCCGTATCCCTTCAAATCTGTCTCACTTTCTCTCTGTCAAATTCTATTTTCTTTTCCATCTTCTAATGTCTCCTCCATCTCTCCTGGTGTTATTTCACTGCTTTCTACAGTTGACCTGAGACAGATACAAGACTGAGGAGAGTTGACAAGCAGGGCCAGTAATGAGACACAGTGACAAGATTCGGACAGCAGTCTGTGAGGGAAACGCTGCAGGCAGTTAGCATTGTTGTTGTTTACTGCTTCCATAGAACACAGAGCCTCTGAATAGCTGCATTGCAGGTGCTTCTTCCTGTTCCCAAGCAAATATCCTAACTTGAAGATATTACAGCTCATTTGATGTCTGATTACTGAAGTCTAACATGCTATATTCCGTTTGTTGGCAAACTAATTCAAAAAGCTCTCCTTTGAGGTAGTTTGAAATATTTTGACATACAGGGTGTGTAGCTGTGTAATTATGATGGATTTGTTTCATTAAGCCATTGAAAATGCCCCCTGAGCATTACAGAGGTGGCTTTGCGGGTAAAAGCCAAATTCTGTCGGTATCAATCCAAATCTGTAAATGTTGGGACTGGGTGTAAAACACAGTTCAGATATTTAAATCAACAGCTCATCATCCAACTGCAACAGGCAAACAGTATCATCCATACACGTTGACAGCAGGGAGTAAAATACAGAGGAGGTTTTATTGCCCGTTTCGGCTACTGCCACCCTGGGGCTAAGTTGGATAACATTAGCTGTACGAGTTAACTGCATCTGACATCACTGTTGGTAACAGTTAGCGTTAGCTTCTTTTAGCAAGTCCGTCTGGAATCTCCATAAATCACCTCTGTACTGCTGTCATCAAACTGTCTCAGAGGCTGTGTTCACTGGGAGGCTGCTAACAGCAGCTACAGCAGCAGTTGACTAAGGTGAGGCAGGAGCAGCCCGAGGACATCAGAAGAACAAACAGAAACTATTTCCTCCGTTTATCATCCAGTTTTTGCCATGCTGTTGTTAGGTAGCTAATGAATCTCCGCTCTGTGTGGCTAAGAGTTGAAGACGGGTGAATGTCACCATATTATTGGTTGAAATCAGTTAGTTTATGCTTACGTAAGCACGCATCACATTTTGTTTTATAGGAAGACACAATGATTGGACTTTGATATAAAAATACAAAGACATTGTGTTTTTGTAGGTCCTGGGAGATTGTGGGTCCCAGGAAATGGTCCAGTGTGCGTCAATCTCTGGTGAGACACTAAATATTTTTGAAAGTTTGAGGCTGAGGTTAGCTGCCCAAGAACTTAGGTCCGAAAAAAATGTAAGTGTTCGAGAGCGCTCTTACAAAGATTAAAACAAAACATCTCGTCTTCAAGGTCCACAAATTGTTTGTTGATTTGAGGTACATAAACACATGAATATCACACGATCAAGTTTAGATTATATGTTTTAAAGTAATTATAATTATTGGATTATTACATTTGTTGGTTTAAAGGGACATTGTGTAGTGTTTTAAGTATTTTATTAGCTAAAATCAATGTCTTCATTCATAAATGTGTCCTCATTGGTGTAAAATTACCTCTGCCAATGATCTGACTTATCCTCGTAAGCAAAGAATTTCTTATCTGTATATACATTGGACGGGCAAGTCCATGGAGGCTTCCATGTTGTTCCGCCATTTTGAAAAACTATAATCGCCGAGAGGGACATAAAGCATTAGCCTACCTGTCCAGCTAATCCACAACGCGTTTTCGTTCAGAGCCAGCGTCACGTGACTGAAACCAGCTATAAAGGAGAAGGAGATCAGTGAGAGGCGCTTGTCTCTGCCCCGGCACATTTGAAAGTCTGCACTGCACTTTAGTTCATAATGGAGGATCATACTTATGCCGAGCCACAGGAGAAGGAATCCTCGTCGCCAAAAAAGCGAAAAAGGGAATTAAAAAGGCAACGTGACCGGCGATTTCAAAAAAAGAGGGTAAACATCGGGGTAGCTATTCCCAGGTGGAAAGAGCTAATGAAGGAGAAAGACTTGCAAAGGGACGCTGAAGTTGCCTGCTTTCTCCTCCACAGGTAGGCTTCTTGGTACATAACGGCTACCGTAGTTGCAATACGCATTTGAAAACGCGAGGCACTAGAGAGCACTATTCGTTTGAATGCAAAATACAATTTCACCGCTAGATGGGAGAAATTCCTACACACTGTCCTTTTAAGAAACACTATTGCTCCATCGATCCCTAAAACTATAAAAACCCTTGGACGATATTGCTGCATTTTTATTTTCATGTAACGCCAGTACTGACCCTGTGGAAACCTTTTTTAAAAAGTTTATTTAACAGTACGTTGATTACACTACTGCTGAACTTCTTCTTCTAGATATATATCTTAAATAGCAATATCTTATCATATGTGTTATTACTATAGAAATAGATAGCTTAAATTTATGTTGCATGCTAGGGTTTTTTCTTATACTCTGTGTTCTATCTTTAAATCTTTTTTCTCCAATTCTCCAAGTATTTGCACATGGCACAACACCTGCCCTTATATATTGTTTGGCTATATATTGTTACCTGCGCTAATAACTAACAATTGGCCACAGTCCTCAATATCAAGTAGGATTCAGCTCACCAGGGTAAGAGCAAATCTGGATGATTAAGAAAGTTTGGTGCATGTGGGGTATATCTTTTATAAAAAGAAAAGAAAATATAAGACAAATGTATGAGAATGTTGCTGCATGAGGCCCACTGAGCAGGGAGTCATAGTCTTGGGAGTAATGCATTACAGTAATTCCACTACTTTTGGCACTAACTAGCAATGTAACAAATTGCGTTTTCAAATTAAATAATGCAATTACAATTAAGGAAATTATAATGCTTTTGTTACTCGTTACTCGTTACTCATTTTGTCTTACCTGACAATAGTGGACAACTAGAAGACAGCAGACAGTCACAACGCATCTAAGTGTATCCCCTTGATTTTCAGGTTTCTGTTCTAATGTCACCGACCTTACGTTGGCCCCGATAGTTCAGTTGGTCCATCAAATATAATTATTTATGAACTAACTACTGTAGCAAAGCTTGGTTAATATGTACATCTGTGTGGCTTTAAGTGTAGCTTACAGGTAGGAACACCATTGTTGCTGCCTTTTGGTGGTTGTGAGTATTAATAACTAGATAAAGGATAAAATGATAAAGCTGTCCAACACTGTAAAACCAGATAAGCTTGTTTAGCTCAAAAAAATGCTGATACTGATTTCATTGAAAACTCAATTTTGTAAATAAAATAAAAAACCTCAATGTTTTACATTGACTTAGTTTTGTGAAACTGTTCCTGAAACTGTGAAAACAAAATACCTAGTAAAAAGAACTTAATCAGGAATGTTTCTGTAATTTTTCAGTAATGCAACTACCTCTGTCCTGTTAACTACCTGTGTCCTCTGTCTTCTGACTCTGGTTACCTCAGAGGTTACCCCTCCTTCACTGCTCTTTAATTTTCCCCTTCCTTACACACCATTCTTTTCATCCATCTCTCATTCTATAAGATACCCCCCCCGCCAAGCTACCAGATGTACCTCCTGTCTCACCCTATTTCCCTTCCCTCTTTATCTTCCCACTCCCATCTCCTCTATTCACTCTTTCTGTTCCTCTCCACTCCACTCCTTGCCTCCTCCATCTCAGTCAGAGGATGATCAATAGTGCTGTTGACAGCAGACCTCCCCTCTACTCCCCAGCAATTATTTGTTGTTCACTAATTCTGTTCCTGTCCTTTAACCTTCTTCCGAATGTCAACGCTGCCTCCTCTTCAACATCCCACATCTCTCGTTGCAGTGCACAACACAATGTTGTACCCAGGTCTCTCGTGTCCTGCAGCTTGTATGTCCACTATGAACCTCAACCACCTGCTTGTGATGTTCATTCATTCAAATTAGACTGGCATTACTTTATGCATCTGAATTAGACTGCTGCAGTAATTCTGACATTTTCTGCATTTTGCTTTATTGACAGGATAGCAGAGACAGACATAAATGCAGGGGGGGGGATGGTGGATGACATGAAGCAAATGGCCTCGGACCAGACTTGGCCTTTAAATGGGGTACACACTCCAGCTGCTGAGCTACCGTGGCTCGGCCAGCTTTGAGATCTTTCTTGTGAATTAAGCTTACATTACAGTATAATACATTTTTTAAATCTTTGTTGTTCTGCCATTTAGACATGGCCCATGCTGATTAAAGTCATTGCCAAGATCTGCAAATGGAGCATTGCGTCAGTTCAGGCAATTAGATAACTGGCATCAGCTGCTTCACAATCAGTGGCTTATTGACCAGTTGCTTGGCTACCAGCTGACTAGTATCTAAACATATCTGGCTGGAGAAATGGGAAGGGACCTCATGAGGTGCTGGTAGTACAACACTGGCCTTGGTGAGCTTCAATTTAGTGTGCCTACTTTACAAAGACACAAACCTAAATTCACCAAGAGGAGGTGCGTAATAAGAAAAACAAAATCAGAAGTGCTGGTACAGTAATTTTAGTGCTTTCAAAATTATTGTTGCTAATTGTTCTACGATGCAGAAATAAAAATCCTCTAAAATCAAACTAAACTTGAAACAAAATGAAGAAATAAAGAAAAAATTAATAAATACAATAAATGGCCTGGTAACAATATTAAAAAGCCCAGGCTGATCCAGAAACAAACAGTCAGGTGTGTTTGACGTTTCCTGTTTATCTCCCTCAGTAGGTGAGGATCGTGACTTTGCCTGTTTGTGTATGTGCACACCCAGAGGCTCCAAGCATGTCAACAGGAAACACACTATGTAAATGAAGATATCCTTCTGTGCAGAGTCCCACGGGCATATGCTGAATACATTAATCACACACATATAGAGAGTCATGCACATATACAGTATACTGTAAGCATGCCACTGAAACTTAATGTCTTCCTCTGGAATGTTGTTTTATGAAACTTTTTCAGAGCTACTTATCCATTGTGCAGGTCCATTACCTGTTTCTCCCGCTTTAATATACAATGCACCTCATCTCTGAACTACTCAAGATTGAGCCACCCCATTACAAAGTCAATTATTCGTCTGGCTCCGACACCACGGTCCACGATCATTCTGAATGATACTTATTTAGAACAAGCTAGCTCCTTCGGCCAGCTTTTTTTTACTTTAATTAAAGTGCTGTTTTTGGTCTCTTTCACCTTTCTCCCACCTTTCTCAAACCATTCTCTGTTCATCAATCTCCTTCCTACACCTTCCTCCCCACACCCTGTCCTCACTGTTCCCAGATAACACTGCCAGTATAGTATCTCGTCGGAGTGAGGGCTTCAGCCAGGACAGAGACCAGGAGTTCTTCAGCCTGGTACTGGTGGTGGCTGATGGTGGAGAGCCTCCTCTGAGCAGCACTGCTACACTCTCCCTCAGGGTCTGTGTTTGTCAGAGGAACACCAGGGGGCGTAACAGCAACAGCGTCTGTCAGGCCCAGGCCTTCCTGTCTACAGCTGGCCTCAGCACTGGAGCTTTTGTGGCCATATTGCTGTGTATTGTAATATTGTTAGGTACGTATGTGGATGTGAATCAAGTCTGTGTCTGTCTTGTATTTCCCCTACCAATAGCACGTCAGCCTGTTCTTACTCCCAAGTGGGCAAATATGTCAATAGCCCTTTTGATCTGTCATTGAAATCAGGTGACCAGGGTTCTACCCTGTGTCCCTTTGCTGCTTGTCGTTCCCCCTCTCTCGCCCCCCTTTTCCTGTCCCTCTACAGCCTTGTTTTAGTTAATGAATTAATATCAGATTATGATATTGAATTTTATTTGTACAGCGTGAGACAGACAGACAGACAGGTGCACAGCAACAACTACACTAATAGTAGTGACTGATGAGGAGTGAGGAGGAGGATTTTAAATTCTATTCTACATTTTACAGGGAGCCCGTGCAGAGAAGCTAGTACAGGAGAGATGTGGGCAACCTGATAATGGGGATGGCTAGTGTGACGTAAGGAATCGTTAGGAATCACTTCTGTGTCCATTAGCATTTTTAGGTCACGTAAACAACGATGGCTACAGCACAGGACCAGCCTACTTTACTGACATCCCAAAGTCTGTTCAAAAACTCGTATAATTCAAATAGGGTAATAACAGTTAGTTCATTTGTTCATGACTTTATTCTTGTAATATTATGACTTTATTCTCATAATTTCCACCAAAAAGAATGATTTTTTTTCTCTCAGTATGGCCCTAATACTCCGTTGTACTGCACCATTTTACTGTTATTGAACCGTTAGAATATTAACGAATGGACACGGAAGTGGCTTTTTGGATATGATGACGTAGCACCTAGCCATGCCCATACGGAGTTGCAGTAATCCAGCCTAGAAGTAACAAATGCATGGATTAGTTTTTCTGCATCTGTCTGTGATAGGATGTGTCTAATTTTTGTAATATTACGTAAATGAAAGAAGGCAGTCCTGGAGGTCTGCTTTATGTGGGAATTAAATGACAAATCCTGATCAAAGATAACTCCAAGATTCCTGACAGTGGTGCTAGAGGCCAAGGTAATGCCATCTAGAGTAACTATATCTTTAGACAATAAGTCTCTAAGGTTTTTGGGGCCAAGTACAAGAATTTTGTTTTTTTCTGAGTTTAACATCAGAAAATTGCAGCTCATCCAGGATTTTATGTCCTTAAGACATGTTTGTAATTTAGATAATTGATTAATTTCATCAGGCTTGATTGATAGATATAACTGTGTATCATCTGCATAGCAATGAAAGTTAATGGAGTGATTCCTAATAATGTTGCCTAAAGAAGCATATATAAAGTAAATAGTATTGGTCCAAGTACAGAACCTTGTGGAACTCCATGACTAACTGTAGTATTTATGGAAGATTCATCGTTAACGTGTACAAACTGAGAATGTCTGACTGGATATCTCCGTCATAAGAAAAGCAGAATATTGAGTTCTATCCGAGCAGTCTGATGTAGGTAGAGTTCTGGTATGGTTATATTGAAGCAGCCTGCTGTTGTTTTCAGGCGATTTAATGAAGGTAAATTCGACACTCGCAATCTAGATAGATAGATAGATAGATAGATAGATAGATAGATAGATAGATAGATAGATAGACTTTATTAATCCCCGAAGGGAAATTGGGTCGTTATAGCAGCCAGGTACATTAAAATACAATAGAATAAAATACAACAATAGAATAAAATACTTAGATAGAAAATATAAAAAAAGATAAAAGATAAATAGGTAGGTAAGGTGCAAAGAGTTGTAGTTGCAAGATGGTGGTAATAGTACTGATAAAATGATGGTACATCTCTCCTGTACTAGCTTCTCTGCACTGGCACCCTGTAAAATGTAGAATAGAATTTAAAATCCTCCTCCTCACCTATAAAGCTCTTCATGGTCAGGCCCCTTCATATCTTAAAGAGTTCATAGTACCCTATTACCCCACTAGAACACTACGTTCTCTGAATGCAGGGCTACTTGTGGTTCCTATAGTCTCTAAAAGTAGAACAGAAGCCAGAGCCTTCAGTTACCAAGCTCCTCTCCTGTGGAACCAGCTTCCAGTTGTGGTTCTGGAGGCAGACACCCTCACCACATTCAAGAGTAGGCTTAAGACATTCCTCTTTGATAAAACTTATAGTTAGGGCTGGATCAGGTGAGTCCTTTTTTCTTTTTTTCTCTCTCCCTTTCTCTCTCTCTCTTTCTCACTCATTCATGTTATTAATGCATGTTACTAACTTCACTTCTTCCCCGGAGTTCTTGTGCTTTCTCGCTCGCAGGTTCTTATCGATCCTGGTGGAGCCTCCTGCCATGGTCCTGCTAGATTGCCATTGCCAAAACTGTTGTTACTGTGCGTCTGTCTGTCTGTCTGTCTGTCTGTCTGTCTGTCTCTGTGTGTCTCTGTCTCTCTCTCTCTCTCTCTCACCCCAACTGGTCGAGACAGACAGCCACCCACCTAGAGCCTAAGGATCTGTCCTAGGTTTCTGCCTTTTAACAGGCAGTTTTTCCTTGCCCTTGTTGCCAAGTGTTTGCTCATGGTGGTACTGTTGGGTCTCTGTAAATAATGTTAAAGAGTTCGGTCTAGACCTGCTCTATTTGAAAAGTGTCCTGAGATAACTTCTGTTATGAATTGGCGCTATACAAATAAAATTGAATTGAATTGAATTGGTAGTGGTATTGTTAATAACAGTATATAATGATAATATTAATAATATTTAGAATAACATAATAATAATATGTATATATAATATGATGACTGAACAGATATGCATGTATACACATAGATATTATACATTAATATTGATATAATGTAAACGTGTTATATATTCAGCCTGTGCAAGGTGTGCATACATACATACTGTAATATATATACACAATATATATATAATATGTACACATATATATTCAATTCAATTCAATTTTATTTGTATAGCGCCAATTCATAATGATAATATATGATATGATATATAGCATATGTATAATAAATACTCGATTATACAAGAAGATATACATACAATAGAAAAAATAATATAAAGCCTTTGTGGACAGCAGATAATGTAAGAATCACCCACATTCCTTTATAGAGCAGTCACTGATTTACTGACTTTCCTGCTTTAACCACATTAAACCTTTTGCTGCTTCCTATGCATTGTGTTTGAACATACAGGTCATTTTAAATACCGTATGAATTTTTCCATATTTACCCCAACTCTTTGTTCTGTTTTGAGTAAATGTATCTTTTTGTGTTATAAGCGGGACTATTCTTGATGATTTTTCCCTTTTTTTCTACTACAGTACTACATTAGCTTTTAATAACTAACTAACTAGCCCTAACCCTACTAAACATGAAAGCTGATTCATTTGCTCCCACTCAGACTGCTGGAGACAGAATACTGAGTATGCCATGACACATTCTTTGAAATATCTCCAAAAAAAGGTTGCCATGAAGTACATTTTTTATCATTAAATGTGTCTAGTATCAAAATTGTTTGTTGGACAGAAAGTCTCTTGCCATCACTGTATGAATGGGTGAATGTGGCATGTAGTGTAAAAGCGCTTTGAGTGGTCGGAAGACTAGAAAGGCGCTATACAAGTACAGGTCCATTTACCATTTGTGTTTAACCATGGAAAAAGTCTTACTCTCTGTATGTACTTCTCTTTATCCTTTTACCTCTCCTGCTTATGTCCCTCCAGCTATTGTGATGCTGTTCACCCAGCTCCGAAACAAGAAAGCAAGCAAAGAGCCTTTGATTCTCTCTGAAGAGGACATCAGAGAAAATGTGGTGACCTATGACGATGAGGGAGGCGGGGAGGAGGACACAGAGGCCTTCGACATCGCTGCACTCCGAAATCCCAAAGCCTCGGAGCCCCGCAGGAAGTACCACACCTACCTCGGCTGTGGACCGAGCCTGTATGGAGAGGAGGATGAGGCAGAGGATGATGAAGAGGGGATCGTGGTGGTGAGGAGGAGGAGGAAAGCGCAGGAGGTGGATTATGGGAACTACAGCCCAGAGTCGGAACCTGCCTGGTTTGTCATTGACTGCATTCCTCGAGAGGTCAGCCAGTCAGCGCCTTCGCTTCTGCTAGATGGTCACGACATCATCCATCAGATCATTCAGCAGAAGGTGGCCCAGGCAGACTCTGACGCACGCGGCCCGCCGTATGACTCACTCCAAACGTACGCTTATGAAGGCCGCGGCTCCTTGGCTGGGTCGGTCAGCTCTTTGGGCCTGACTGCGGCAGCGTCCGAACTTAACTATGCTGACTTGGAAGACTGGGAGCCAAAGAGGCAAATTCTGGAACGAATTGTCGAACAGCAGCCGGCTACAAGCCAAGCTAGCCCTGACACCTAAGGATTTTCATTTTTTTTCACCCTTTTCCAGATTTGCCGAGACAGATTGCTTTCCACTCGTGCCATTTAAACCTTGGTGCGAGGATGTAAAACTACTCCTGCAAAAAGCTGGCAATTAGGAGCTGTGATATCATGAGGATAAGAAAAGCCATTCACGTGTAACAGGAGAGAACACACAGGCTGGAGGGAGATTTGGGGGGAAGCATCCTAGCTCAAGTACTTTTCTGAAATGAGAGACAAAATGCAAACTGAGAGAAGACCAGGCTTTTTAAATGACAATTTGCATACGGTTTTCGCCCTCCGCTCTGCTTGTTAGGTGTGTTAAGGGAAAAAGTACACCTAGTGCTAGGCCCAAAAGACTCTGGTCTTGATCTTCACTGTTACTGAAGCTCCAGTCATTTAAAAACCCTACCACAACTACCCGAGAGATTAATACCAAATTGGCTTGGAGCATAATGACCCAGGGTTTCGAGGTGCACGTCATCCACTGGCTTGAATAATGGGAACATGGAGTTTTACGCATTTGTTTTTCATAAAGACAACATTAGGCTGACTATTAGTGGTATCTGTAAAGAAAGATTGAGAGACAGCTGTTGGCCCCACTGGAAGTTGCAGATGTTCTGAAGTCCAAATAAAGCTACAGTCCTTCCCCTGAAAACTGTATTCTTATTATTATTCATTCTGTACCGTCATGGAATCTGAAATATGTTTGCGTGCACACAGTGACAGCAGAACCTGAGGTGTGGATTAGTGAGGGTTAGCTAATCCAAATTCCAGTTTCATGGTCATGCTCTGATCCTAATACTAAGCTAAATAGCTAGGAATGTAAGTTGATCTCTCCTGACCATTTTTCCACTGCAGGAACAACCTATAGCCTAAGCAATTATAAATTGTTGCAAAATGTGTTCTTTGAGATTTAAGTAAAGATTTTGATATATTATCAACCACAGAACTCTCATCCACTGTCCTAAAAACCGTGTTGATCTTCTGCAGCTGTTCCTAACAGAAATTCCAGCGGGCACGGCTTTATGGCGTGAGGTCTGCATCGCAGTTGGGCTCCGTGATCCGCACGTCTTCAAATCCCACCAAGAGCGTTTCATAAGCAGAGCGTCTTTTGCGTGTGTTGCCTTCCTGGCGTTGTTTACTTGTGTGTTTTGTCATTAAAAAGGATACAAAACAGTGCGTTTCTCCACTTCAAATCTTTTCTGATTGATTGCATGCAGTATTTTATTTATATTCTAACTGGATTCTCTATACCATTTCGTTGTCTGACTGTCCGTCATATGTCGACAGTCTTCTCGCCAATTCGGCATCAACATAATCCATGAAGATAAACTGTATTTCTGTTTTTTTTTTAAAGGTCTTACCTCGACAGTATCTGCACATGGTATGGTAAAGGTTAGGAGAGATCATGATTATGGCAAATAAACTATGGTTAGGTATATATGGTTAGGCAACTAACACTCACAGTTACCAAAAGATTGTGACTATCATTAATAAAAAGTCAAATGTGAATTGAAGGTAGAGGCCTGCGTGGGGATGTTTTGTTATTGGATTTTGTCTGTGGATTTCTGACCACTACGGTCTTGCTGTGTGTTTGTTCCGCCCTCTCAAGCATTCTGATCATTCATTCCTGCACAATAGAGACTTTGTGTAGTCTCCTGTCCTACAGGTGAAAAGATGTTATTTTCAGTAACAACTGATAAATGCCAGACTTGCCTTGCTTTGCTGTTAATTTTCCTCTTAACTTCTACATTCAACATTTGTTGACTCTGTCTCCATCCTTCTGATGGACAGGATGAAACCTGTTTTTTTCTGCCTGCAGCAAAGTCAAAACTGCCCACTCCTGTGAGATTTGCGTTGGGTCCCAATCCCAGTGCAGCTATCTAACTGAAGGACTGTGAACTCCAGTCTCTTGCATGACAGTCAGACACTCTCCACACTGTCCAAATTGTTACATAAAGTGCACGCTGGCATTGGACATAAAGCAAGTTAAGTGAGCATTTGTCTAATATGAACATAAATCGTAGGGATACTGCGCACATCCTCTACCCAAACACTAATTAGGCCCTAGACATACTGTATCGGTTTGTCCAACACACACTGGTTTTAGAGATGCAGTAATGAAATGGTGGTTATTGTTTTTTGTTTGTTGTAGTCACTTAACAATAAATCTACTTAACCAATCACGATCAATTTAAGTCATGTCATTTTCATTTATATAGCTCCATGTCACAAATCCTAAATTTGCCTCAATGGGTTTTACAGTCTGTACAGCATTCAACACCCTTAATTGATAGCAATGCCACTTATTGCCCAAGCGGTGCTAGAAGTCCCCAAATCAGGCAGTAAACTGTAAGCAGAACCAGTGGCTATGTCTAAACATATGCTTTTATTTAATGAAATTCTTACAGTGGAAAAAGGCTATTTGTAGACCATACCAAGTCCAGGAAACGTCTGTGAAGCAGCTGCCAGGTATCCATTCTGGTGAGTGACAAGGCTGCAGTGGCATTTAAGGACACAGACAGCAAGACTGGCAGCAACACAAGGGGAACGCTTGGTAAAAGTGACAAGTTAATAATTGAGATCATCTCTCACTTACCTAGTAACCTTGCTGACTTCTGTGAATCAATGGAAATTTGTACTTCAGTGCACATATTTTCACTGGGCTGAAATCAGAGAAAGGACTGTATCTTTTTAGACCTGCTCTGAGTGGAAATGAATTGGTCGATCAGGAAGATGAAAGAAATTAAGCCTATTTTCCCTGGTGTATATTTTTGTCGATGAATAAAAGACAAATGATTTCAGAAAAGCAGTTTGATTACTTTTGGATCCATATGTGCAGTCCTTGAAAAGTGCCAAACTTTTGACTTATTTTTACTTATTAGTGGGTCTGCTGGTGCAGATGGCCCATTTGGGATTCTCATTACGTTTTGTGATAAATATGTCTTTACTTGACACACCATCTGAGCCTATACTGTCTGTAAAAAAACTCTTTCTTTTCCAGTGCTCTAAGTGGATTAACAGGGAAATAAATACCTCAAAAAAAGAGCCTGAAAAGTTTTTAATTGGGGCCACAGCAGTATTCTATGTGTTATAATTGGCTTCAAACGCTTTGGAGTGCAGCTTTTAAGGCCATCGAGGGATTTGAGAATCGGTTTGCCTGTTGGTGTACCTCCATAGCTTCTCCCCGGAGGCCCAATAAGGGACATAAATAAATCACTACTAAAGTGTTTTGTAAAGCTTTACCAGTGATTAATACGCTTCTATTACATGGTTGTTATTTTGCATTAGCTGAAATGTTCAACATGCAGATGCACTAAAAAGTGTGAAAACTGATCGTGTCAGCTCTTCATTAATTCAGCCTCACAGCACAGCATATTCTTTTGTTTTATATTTAGAGGCGAATGCTCAGGTTGCCTATTTTCATGGTGCCTTCTGGTTTCAATTTCTTAAATAATGGCAGGAAGACACAGCACGGAAAAGGTCTCAAAACACAAGATTAAAAAAAAAAGGTCCGGTGTCACAGCAAATTATAACCAGCATCCCTTCCTGTGCTGCTTATTTATTCAAGAAGTAATTAGGGAGGTTGATGTACGTACTGTCTTTGAAAACAACAGTGACCTCAACGGGGCTGGAAATATGAATAATTCATAGCAAATGTAATTGGGGTTCTGCGTGAAGGCAGCATTTAAAGGGCTTCACGGGGTAAACTGCAAATACCAGCTCTGTAACCAGCACAGTGACTGATGAAATATCCAAAGCCACTGTTCCCCTGCCACACACACACACACACACACACACACACACACACACACACACACACACACACACACTAACTAAGCCACTAATGATGCTCATCAGCAGTTTCGACAAACATGTCCACCTCAGAGTTATATTTTGCTCGCTTTTTAACATTTGAAAGTAACAAAAGGAGGAGGCAAAGAAAGTCGACCCACTAAAGCTAACAAAAATCATTAGAGGGTAAGTTGGAAGTGGAATATGACTTAAATAAGACTTGTAAGGGGTGGAAACCTACTAATAGGGTGTGATGCTCAGTAGGCAATTTGAAGAAGGATGCCATCCCTCTTGTTAGCAAAATGACTTGACTTCATCCCCGATGATTAGATGTTCTTTGTTGTACCTAAAGGGATATTCTGTTTGCTCAGGTCAGTACCATACTAACAGACAAACAATAACGAATAGTCATTAGCAGTTGTGTTGTTGTCTTTTATTGTTTTATGACTGTTAAAAGATTTTAACTAAACCAAACTAAATGTGTCATTCTGGCAGGCAACTTTCAGTTTAGGCGTGAACTGTTTTCAAAGTGTCACTTCTTATTTCATCTCAAAGTGCAAAAGAGTAAAACTGTATCACTGGTTCACCCAAAGGAGTGGATTTGTGAAATCAAATGCAATGTAAGAGTTTATACCTAGGCCAACAAGGTATTTTAAAGCTGCAGTAGGTAACTTTTATTAAAAAAAAAAAAACTTTTGAAAATGTGCTTAATGCGTTTGTGTTAGGGATGTTCTTTATCCAAGTCATTTAATATTGAGTATCTGTCGATACGGAGTCCCAATCCGATAGTTGTATTACAGGTACAGGTGCACAGTGCACACTTTAAGTTCAATTCAATTAAATTTTATTTGTATAGACCAAACGCCACCATGAGCAAGCACTTGGCGACAAGGGTAAGGAAAAACTGCCTGTTAAAAGGCAGAAACCTAGGACAGATCCTTCGGCTCTAGGTGGGTGGTCGTCTGCCTCGACCAGTTGGGGTGAGAGAGAGAGAGAGAGAGAGAGAGACAGACAGACAGACAGACAGAAATGAGTGCAGAAAGAGAGAGGAAGAGAGGAGCTCAGTGCACCATGGGAAATCCCCCGATAGTCTAGGCCTATAGCAGCATAACTAAGGGATGGTTCAGGACTCACCTGATCCAGCCCTAACTATAAGCTTTATCAAAGAGGAATGTCTTAAGCCTACTCTTGAATGTGGTGAGGGTGTCTGCCTCCCGAACCACAACTGGAAGCTGGTTCCACAGGAGAGGAGCTTGGTAACTGAAGGCTCTGGCTCCTGTTCTACTTTTTAGAGACTATAGGAACCACAAGTAGCCCAGCATTCAGAGAACGTAGTGTTCTAGTGGGGCCTGACCATGAAGAGCTTTAAAGGTGAGGTTTTCTTTGAGATTTTAAATTCTATTCTACATTTTACAGGGAGCCAGTGCAGAGAAGCTAGTACAGGAGAGATGTTGTAAGATAGGTGTTGCCAGAGTAGGTCAAAAGTAGGAGGCAGACTCAGGACGTTGTGGTAGAATTCCCTTTGTGTGGGCATTTATTCAAGTGCTTCCCAAAATGTGAAAAGCAACAAAAAAACATGTTTACAAAAAAACTGAGGAAAAATCAATTCATACTAGATTTGAAATTAACAACACAATTTATCTCTCCCCATCTCTCTCGCTTCCCCCAAGAGAACTGACCCTTATACACTTCTTACCTGCCTGAAGACTAGACATAGATTAAACCATCCTCACTTCAGGTGGTATTTATTTACAGATATCTTTTACCAAGACACATGCTTCAATAAACATTACCCATAATATCACTCACATTACCTATGGCGTTTAAATGTAACACCCACTCAATATTCCCCACCATTCATAAAATGAAAACGAAACAGAATTAAATCTACAACTTATTCCCCCGTTAACATGGTATGCCCCTGACGTAATTGGTGACATCATCGTATTCCCCCTCCCACACAACGGCTTTCGGCGTCAGGTAAGATACCTACTGAAATAATTACACTTTATATGTGCTAAATCAAACGACATATATAAAGCAACGAACAATAAAAAATACTGGAAAAAACAACCTTTGCCTGCCATTATTGTTGTAACCTTGATTGATGGATGTTGAAGATTATAAAGAAATAACGCTGCACACAAAACAGTCCCGGGATAGTAGTGTGCACGTGCGTTACCAGCTGAAATTAATTTATGGTTAATGTAAATGAATAAACAAAAATGTGTACAAATGAAACAACAGGTAACCTAACAAGTAAATACCTAAATAAATAAGTGACAAATGACTTTGTCACAGATGTGATCTCTTTTTCTAGTTCCTGTCAGTACTCGTGCTGCAGCGTTCTGAATTAATTGGAGCGTTTTAATGGACTTATTGGGGCAACCTGATAATAAAGAGTTGCAGTAATCCAGCCTTGAAGTAACAAATGCATGGATTAGTTTTTCTGCATCTGTCTGTGATAGGATGTTTCTAATTTTTCTAATATTACATAAATGAAAGAAGGCAGTCCTAGAGGTCTGCTTTATGTGGGAGTTAAATGACAAATCCTGATCAAAGATAACTCCAAGATTCCTGACAGTGGTGCTAGAGGCCAAGTTAATGCCATCTAGAGTAACTATATCTTTAGACAATGAGTCTCTAAGGTTTTTGGGGCCAAGAACAAGAATTTCGTTTTTTCTGAGTTTAACATCAGAAAATTGCAGCTCATCCAGGATTTTATGTCCTTAAGACATGTTTGTAATTTAGATAATTGATTAAATTCATCGGGCTTGATCGATAGATCAAGAAAATGTACTTCTTAATCCAATCAGCAACAAGTTCAACAAAGGTTTTGTCTTCCTCAAAATGTGTTTAATGCTAAATAGCTATAGTTAATAGATTTGGCACATGTGACTGATCAACTGTTTAAAGACTGAGATTAGTTGATAAAATGAGTCGAGCATGGTGTGTTCCTGCAGCCATGTGGCCCTTTATAGAATAGTTTGAACATGCCATTAAGCTGCAGTCGGTAACTTTTATAAAAAACAAACTTTTTGTCATATTTGCTGAAACTCACTATATCCTGACAGTTGTACACGAGACAGATAATCTGACAAAAAATCTGGTTCCTATGGCTCCTCTGAAAAAGAAACTTTGGGTTTGTGGCTTGATGATAATTGCTTGTTCTCAGTCTTAGTCTTAGTCTCATTCCCAGCATCTATATTTGACGACCTGAGAATGAGACTCAACAATCAAATCTTTCTTTGCTCTGTTTTCATTTGGGCCCATAGGATTCTTGTAAATGCCAATGAGCGTTTCAGCAAATATGACAAAAAGTTATTACCTACTGCAACTTTAAGCTGTGATTCATTCACTCGTTATGTAATTATATCTCTCACATGCATCTGACTGAT